AGAGGCTAGAATCTCTAACTCTGCATAGTAGTTGGTCTAGGAGAAGGAAAGATTTGGAATCAAGCTCATGGAGAAAGTAACCGAAAATTAATAAATGATCATTCTAAAAGAAAATCATGCTTGTTCACAGAACCATGATTGTTTACGTCCAGACGGGGAATATTTTATAATATAAGTAAAATAAGTATCTAGTAAAATAGTAGGATTATTACGTTAGTCGTAGATAGAAGAGGCGTAGTAAATAAACTCTCCATTATATGAACAATTCGGATGTAATCAGAACGTTAAGAATGACAGAAAACAAAGAAAACGCTGTCAGAGAGCAATATGATGAGAGAAAGCATCCAATAAAAAAAGTAAAAAAGAATTGATTTTTGAGATTCTGATTTATTATTTCTTACGTATTTATTTTTGCGTTTGGGATCGTTATTTTTAATACTTTTCACTTCGTTTCCATTTTTCTCGTTGCACACACACACATATATATATATATATATATATATATATATATATAGAGAGAGAGAGATACAGTTATTTAAGTAAATGGTCTGTTTATAATAAACGGTATTAATTATCTGCTGTATGTCTGTGAAATTTACAGTACTTAAATAATTGTATCTATAAAAATAACGTATTAGCAGAAAAGACATTAAAATAATTGTCGGACAGTCCATTTCATATATATATATTTACATACATTATATCCCTGATATTGAGCACTTTAACCCATAAATATCATATACCATAAAACTATATATATATATATATATATATATATATATATATATATATATATATATCTCCTTTTTTTTCTCGTAGATTATATCACGTCCCATTATTTTCCCTCTTCCGCTTACGTTTTTTTTCATTTTATCCTTCTTTCCCTTATTTTATCCTTCTTTCTCTTATTTTATTTAACTCCTTAACAATTATTCTCCTTTATAATAAACACTCACTTCTCTTTCTGTGCTATCTATCTACTGTTATCTATCATGTTTCCTTTTTAACTTCTCTTTTGTTATTTTGTTGACCATACTTTGCGTTTTTACCTTATCTCAGTTTGCTAATTTAGTCTGCCTTATTCATTTTATTCTTCTTACAGGTTTTTCACCTCTTTACTATCCCTCTTTTCATTCTGCCTGTATCTCTCTCTCTCTCTCTTTGAACTGTTCCTCATTTAGACTATTTCGCCTCTTCTTCGCCCAATATCTCTATTTTCGTTATATTTTTTCTTTTTTAATTTTGCGCCTCTAACTCTTATTCTCCACCAAGGATAAGAAAAAAAACGTTTTTACTGTTACAATTAAGATGAAATCACACATAGTACCGACAAAATCTTTGATATTTCACTACAAACCCAAAGGCATCGAAAATTTCCTATATGTTCCGATTTAACCCATTCAAAATTATTGCTTCACATAAATAAAATAAAAAAAAATTGGTAAAATTGAAATATAAATAAATGACGTCGCTTGAGGCTTATAGCACTGAGTTGATTCTAAAGAACCTAAAACTCAAAATTCCTACTAAAATTAGCCTAAATAAGAGTACTAAGCATTGTTTTCCTTATTGATTGAATTTGTTTATATAAGAAATGATTGTGGTCTAATTATGTTTATTCATAGGCCTCAAGGATATTTCGAAAATGCAACTTTACAGCTTAGGAAAGAATACAAAATACAAGGGTCGGTCATTAACTAATGCCTGCTCGCATTTCATTTTAAAAGTATTCGTGCAAAGAATCTACAATGTTATTGGTACTTACCTGGTTTCACTCCCATCCCCACGTAACACAGCTTTCCTGTGCCTTTTCTATAAGTATTTTTATGGTTCTGATGGACTTTCCATTGTGGTATCTAGATTTGATGAACTTTACGCGCAGTAGTAGATTTGGCGGAAACGTCTCATTATTTTACAGTAGATGTGGCTAGATATAACCATAATTTCTACACTAACGGTTTTTATTCTATCGCAACTTCATAATTGAGAAACTCTTTTCCGGTTTCTTGCTTCGCCATCAACTTTCATCTTCAAAAATTTACATGCAGTCTAAATCGATATATTTTGTATTAATTCTTGTTCTTTTATTGCCCTCTCTCCTTAATAGATTTTTTCTCATACACTCTAAAATTCAGTAACCCCCCCCCCCCTTTGCGTCTTAGTGGCTTTATTGCCTTGCTTAGGATGAAAAGATTAAAAAAAAGAATTTCTAACATATTTTTAGTTAGAAACCATAAAGTAGCCATAAGCCGAAAGAAAAAAAATACTCTAAGCTTATCTTTTCGTACGCATAATCATCTTTCAAAATGGCTGCTCGCTGGACACAAGTGGAGACCAAAGAATTGTCCATATCGGAAGGAAAATGTTCTGCAAGTATTCACATGAACTTAGCGAGTATTTAGGGAAGGGCTGCACTCGCTGTCAGCATGTAAGAATACAGTCATTTCAGTTCAAATTGATCATAGACAGAAAAGAGGAAATGAATCTAGTAAAAGGCTCCGAACTGGCAAATCAGCTGCTCCGATGATTAACGCGAAACAGTCCTATGTTCTAATTACAAAAAAATGACTATTGCAAAACCGAAAGACTACCACTCAGATATACAGTTGAATTCACATCTGGTTACTAAAAGTTCTGTGCAAAGTGGTTGCAGAGAATGCTGGCAGATTCCATCAAATGTTAAATGTTGGTTTCTAGAGCTACACTACACTGATTATAACAGTTCTCCAATAAGAAGAAAGTGGCCAATAATTTTATTCAAGATGGATATGTCTTAATTTATAGTTGTGTGCATTTACTAATTAACCTTTATTTAAAGAACAGGCGATATTTTAATCGATATTCGTAGTTCTATTATTTTCCTAACACAAAGAAATCATAATCTGAAGTTCTAAATAATTTATCAGCGAATAAATTAAACCATAAAGAGAGGAAAATTTATTATTTCAAGACTTTAACAATGGTCTACATATTCTCGACAAATAAATTATTGAGTCGGAACAAATGTTTGATATGAATGTATATATTTTTCACAGATTTGGAGGTGAGGATAGTTTTATAAATTCGAAAAGTGAATTAGACGTACCGTGTTCAGTTTCCGCCCGATTCGGTTTCGTTCACTTCGCGTTAATGCCCTCGGAATGCCCTTCGAATTGATCTTCCTTCCTCCGGCTATGGGTTAAGCAGAATGGGTTTTCTTGCTTTGATGCGTGAAACAGTCTAGGAGAAGGAAAACACTGAACTCAAAACCCTTGCCCCAGATACACCACTGCTTCTATGGATATAGTAAATGTTATGCCTCTAAGTTTCACACGCACACACAGATATTTATTCATCAACTTAGGTAATATGATGTTCCATTACATTTCGTAATCTTTGGGGTAGCTTCATGATTCCATCCTCTAAATAATTGCTGTCTTGGGTGATGAACTTTTTTTTTTTTTTACAGGCATCGGAGAACTTAAGTTCTTCCCATTAAGAGAAGTGTTAGTCCAAAGGTACAAAATTATGAGAGTAAATTAGTTGTAGTAGAACATACCAACAAAGCTGTACCACTTTCTGTCTCTGCTACAATTAGGCGTGCAGTCTGACATTGTCCTGATGGAAGATGATACCCTTCCGATTGGCCAATTCCAGACGTTTTTCGTTGATTGCTGCCTTTTAATTGGTCCAATTGGGAAAAGTACTTACCTGAATTCGACGTCTGATTTAACAGAAGGAGATCGTAATATACAATACACTTGGAATCTCGCCCGAGACAGAGCATCATCTTCGTGAGTACTCTGCTAGTAGAGCGATGATCGCCAATGTACTGAAGGGTACACAGAATGTTATTATAAGAGAAATTAATTTGTGATATAGAGATTCACAAGGTAGTACTGTGCAGGCAAACGTGAGATTGTTTCTACTATTCCGGTTTTCCCTTTTAATTACAGGGAGAAACGAAAAGTTGGTGAATCAAATTAAAACAGAAATTCCTGAAAATTGAGAAATTAACGAAGGTAATAATCATGCCTATAATCATTTGAGCACTTGGAATGATCTCGATTTTGTAGACGTTCACTAAGATAATTTGCAATGTAATAACTTGTAATTGGCACAAATATAGAAGAAAGTGGTTAGGGTTTGTGAATTGCTTTTTAACAAACCTTATGATTTTTTTCCCACAAAAATAAAGTTATCATTTTTGTGCCAAATAGAGGCTCCAGTGATATAAAAAATTGCATTGTCACATTTCTATTTTGACTAATGAGAGCCCTTCAAAAAGGACGCTAATTTTTGTCATTTGCAAACCATATTCTTTAGATAAAGTAAATGATGAAATTCCAGGAAATCTTTTTCCCCTTTTAAATTTACTAAATAAAAGGTTAAAAATATTTTTACCAGTTGTAACATATATGTCAGTACGTTTTAAGCTATGTTTGGAGCCTATAAATTTCGGTAAGTAATATTTGACACTTATTAGTATCTTCAGTAAGATTTTCGTACGTTTTGTAATTTACCGATTACTCACTTTCGACTTTGTTTAATTCCGAGTGATATCTATACAATTCTTGTAAATATTTTATTCCTTTCCATTTAACAATTATCAACAGTCTTTAAAATGAAGACGCATCTTGTATTATTGCCAACCAAATTTAACTTTACCCCTTGCTCACCAGTTACTGTGGCTGATTCATGCACATATACGCCTTCAAAGCAAATGTAATTTTGTGTAAAAAAATCCCATATAAAGAGGTATGGAAACTCTTTCAACATAAACATACAAATAAAACCTTTATATTTGGCATTTGGATCGTCAAAGAACTGACGATATTTCATGTCTTCATTCGATTTGTGTAATCATACCACCCAAGTGTTTAACATTTAAATATGTTAAATTTATAGACGTGTTTCATTTTTGTTTCTTGCATTTTATCTTGTACACTATCACGTGATGCTCTTCTCTGTTCAAAGTCTTTTTAGGACGTAGGCAAATATATCAGCTTACGGACACATCTCACTGAAACATCGGTTCCCGTGCTATCACCGAAGTTAAGCAACATCGAGCCTGGTCAGTAGATAGATGGGTGACTACTTGGGAATACCAGGTGCTGTAAACTTGGATATATGGGTGGTGTAATTTATGATAGATCGGAATTCCAGTTGGGTTCGTTATATTCATTTACGCGCAAATAAACTTGGGAAAGGTGCGAACCTGCTTCTTCCCCCCCCGAGCTATGGATTAATTAGTAATACTTTTATCACTAAATAATTATCTCAAAAAAAAATTCTTGCAATTTAAAAAAAATTCTGGCTTTAAGTAGCCAGCAAATGGTTGATAATCCGTGTAAAATGAATCAATCAATCCAGAAAAGCAAACATAGCTCTCCATAACTTCATATCTTTTGATGTTACAAGTATCTTTTTTTCACTCTTGGCTGTCCCATTGATTTTTTTTTCCCAAGGTTTATAATTCATGGTTATAAAAAGAGGTTCTTTTGATGAAGATATTTCGAGATCAATGTTTAGACAATGTTCATGACTTACTATCGGTCGGTTAATTATAAACCTGAAGGAGGCTGAAATATGGATGGGCCGAAACGTCGTAATAAAACTAACGGTGATAAAGTTATTTTCAACAACGTGAATAAGTTTCCATATGTTTTTTTTTTCTTTTCTGCGTTACTCTCATTTTCTTTCTTTCCACATCTCACCACATCCAGTTCGGTTACTTGTTTCCTCACACTCACATTTTTCCTCACTTTCTCTGGTTTCATATTTACTTACTTTCTAATCTTCTCTCGTGCTTTTTCTTTTTGTTCTTGGCGCCATTTGTTTTCGTAAATGTCACATATTAAGCAAAACCATGTCAACATCAGAAACGAAAAATAAAATAATCCTTTGCTTAACAGGAAAAAAGTACTCTAACAATGAAAAAAAAAATAACCATTCCTGTTTTTTGTTTGTTTTTTTAAATTGGGGGTCGGGGTAACAGGGCTTAAAAACATCTGAACTGACCTGGTTTCGGTCAGAATTGATCCGCGAATGTCGATACCCAGATGACAAGATCGTAGAACCCTTGCTATGGTTTACGACATTCAGACGACAAACATGACGTATGCTTGACATATCTACTCTCTTGTTGTTTTAACACACACACACATATATATATATATATATATATATATATATATATATATATATAAGTATTATTCTTGCTTATACATGCAAGCACTGACAGAAACTAGAGGAAATTTCACAGCAGCCAATGTTTACATGTAAATATGTAAAGACTGTATACCTCTAAAAAAGAGCATACCATGGTGGAAAAATGCCACCCAAACCTTATTAAAAAAGTGTTATCGTCAAAATGTTTATTATTGTTGCGTTAGCGGATGGGCCAAAGATTAGTACATGGTATTTTATCGTCTTTTTTTTTTTTTTTTTTTTTTTCACATTGTTTTGGGACTCCTGCAAAAATCCAATAACTGTCGTATTGTAATGGCATTTTCAGGAATTAGTCACAAATAAATGTAAATTATTATTGATTATTTTTATTAAGTTTTAAATCTTTTAAAATTCCGTATTAATTGAAGACTTTAAGATGACATTATTATTAACTGAAAACTATATTTACTAATTATAAATAGAAAAGCTTAATACAAATCATCAAACCCCAATATTTTAAAATAATTTTGAATATTTTGCTATGTGTAAACGTACGAACTTTTATAAGTACAGTCGACCATACACGACATTATCAGGAAATAAGAGCAATAAATTCAGCAAATATAAAGTCAAAATATTCTAAAATTGAATTAGATTACGGAGAATATTCTATTTTTTTAAGATTACTGAATACTTTACAATTTTATAAAAAAGGCGCTCACAGCATTTTCTTAAATTAGTCTTTACATATAAAGAACAAAATTAGATCTGTCATCAGGCTTTTTGCAATATTTTAAGCCTAAAGTAAATAATATTTGTTTCAAATCAGATTAATTATACTTTAATTCAGATAATATTCCGCAAATAAAATTTCAGAAAAGTATATTTTATTTTCGGAAGATTTTTTTTTTTTAATAAAGAGTTACATTGCGATGAAAGACTACGAACAAGAGTGCTAATCAACGATTTTAGCAAAAAATATGTCCCCTCCGGTCAACTAAATTTAGTTTTTTTTGTTTTGTCTTTTTTTTTTTTTTTTTAAATAGAGCAAATTATTTTGCTTATGTGAATTATTAAATTTAATCTCGTAGCTTGAAATTAAAGCGAAAATAAAAGCTTCAAGAAATTTTCTTTTCATTTGAAGAAATTCATTTTAAACCTTAGGTAATGCATTTTTATTTTATTTTATTTATTTATTTAATTGTGTAGAGCTCCCGAGTAAAGAGTCTACGTATATACTACACTAAGCATGCGTACACTCTTTACAGAAGCCATTTAATTATGACGAGCACGTATTTTCGTTTCCTTCTAAATATATAACCTTTAGAATCTCACACACTTTTTTCAGGACGTCTTCTATTTTTCAAAACTGTCTCGTTACGTTCTCGTTAATCTGAAATCGCTTCCTTTAACTGAGAAATTTACTTCAGGCAAGAGTCGCACGAATGAAATTTTGGACTGCAACTGAGCTAACAAACCTCGCTTTTCTGATATTTTGCCGAAAAGGAAAAAAAAAACTCCCCAATATATGACAAAATAGCTGTCTCGATATAAACATGGCTATATATTTTCCAGATTTATATGAAATCTCCAGATCGCCTAATTCCTGAAAAGTTATTCGCCGATTTCCTTTAATTCGAACCTACTTAGGTTCAATATTTCCAAATGTCCTGCTTGCTGAAGGACTTTAGGGAAGTCGATTGCTTTTCAAGTGATTACTGGACAAATTTGAATGCGTTGCTAATAAACTTTCCTCTGAGCTTTACGCATTGCATCACCTGCGAAAGCCACGTGAGATATTCGACCAATTTTCGAATGTCCACGTTTCATGTAAAAATTTACTCAGGTCCGAAATCAACAAAAAGAATCAAGTCAGACAATTAATAATCTCCAAGGCAAACATCACTTCCTAGAACCTGAGTACTGCCTGCCTTTTGTTTTACTATATATATATATATATATATATATATATATATATATATATATATATATACACGTCATCCACAGAGTGATTTTTTTTTTTTTTTTTTGCAGATCATCAGTGTCACGAAATCCGACTGATATGGTATCAGTCGGAGATTTTACCCGTAAACCATTTTCGCACGGCAGGGATGAAGGTGAATTTAGGCGTATTAAGTTTTAGACAAAGACGCCAGTGACCAGAGAACTCGACTCGTCTTAACGATGAGTCTTGCAACAGTAATAGCCACTGTTTATAAAATCACTTTTCTCCCCGAAGAGCTCAACTGAAATAATTTTTTCAGGAGCATTTACATATTGTCACCCACAAACAGACTGTTTCTCTGTTTCACATCTCATCAGTGTAGCTAGATATCCGATTGCCTACATTTCGTGAGTTCTAGAATTGCAAAACAAAACCTAAAAAAAGTGTCTGAAAAACTCATGTGAAACTTCAAAACCATATATGGCAGTCATGACCTCACCAACGATGTTGCTTTGTAAGCTTTGCTTTTGCAAAGCAGGTAAATTACGAAATGACATTAAATACTAACAAATCATGTTGCATTTGTAGGAAAGTGTACAAATCAGCTGATGGACTGTGAAGACACGCAGACATTCACAAATATATGGCTAATGACAACAAAATATTTCATGTCTGACAACTTTTCGCCAGAGATTTAAAAATGTTATCCGGTTTATTGGCAGATTCGTTTATGCTGTAGATGAGGACTCTGCGTAATTCTTTCTCTTCCCTACAACTGTAACAAATGGGCTGTGTCTACTTATAAATATAGCAAGTAGTCACATGAGTGCGGATTTGAAGAGTAGTTGATTTAATTGTTTCTTTTTTCCGTTCTATATATGAGTATTCTACTTTGTTTTCCCTACCAAATCTTCTGTTCCTCTGGTACTCTCTCTCTCTCTGACTACGGCCTCCATAATTCTCAGCTGTTTTGAACAAAGGCAACAGTTTAAGTCACAGCTTAGGTTTGAGATGATATCTTGTAATGGTCATGCACAACAACACAGTCCCAGCCGAATTCAAATTAAATCCGGTCGCTACATTCACTTTCAAAAATGATCTTGGGATGGGTAAAAAGCCACTTCTTCTCTCCCCAATAGCCATGGTTTACATAACAGAGCAAATAGTGGCTTCAACCTTGGCTACCAAATAATCTAAGAGAAGGACAAATCTGAATTAAACCTGCGGCTGCATCTGTCTCCATCCATCTTGAGCATTCTTGACATGGGTGTATATTAACTGAAGTTCAGAGAGAGGTATTTATGTTGTAAGAGTAAATATCGCTATAATCACTCTGATTTACATGTACGTTATTACAAGAGCCAAAACAACAAACTTTAATGAGTCAATCGAATAGACAGATATCATGTATCGTTGAGCTGGCATATTTTACATTATATCAACACTTTTTGTTTTATTTGTTATTGAAATCTATTTTTATTAAACTTATGTCTAGAATTAAACATTTTTATTATACTTAAGACCTGTAGGTAAACATTGGCCAGGTTTTAATGTGTTAACCAAGTCTATAAACAAATATTTGTAGTCAGTTCACGTTGGAACTACTGAAGAAAATTGTTTTGCTATCTTTATTTATTGTCTCAATAGGCTCATATAGTTTTTTGTTTTTAATTTTTTTACGAAACTTCGTGTTTTAATTGGCTCTACATTATTGGTTGAAGCTTATTTTATCACTAAATTTTGTATGATGTGTTCCCCCGCTAGACACAATTAGTTACTCTATTTTTAGACTTTACAATAATGTCTGGTCCTGAGACGAATGAAATTTGGAGATAAGACAAGAGTCTTCCAACCATACAGGATATGATTTAAAATCTCCAAAGTTTACTTTATTTTCTATGCACTGCGCTTACTAAACAAACCGAGAATAATGACAAAATTATATATTAAAACCAAGAGAAATTAAATGAAAGAAAGGCTAGTCAAAAATGAATCATGACAATA